GAGAGACGAAATGAAAGGGGAGAATTAAAGGGTGTTCCTCAAGAACTGTACAACAAAGTAGACAATTGCCAGAAACAATGCAACCTGATATACATCTCTCTCAAAGCTGTCGTCTCTTTGGAAAAACTGCATCACCACAACTAACATTCTCTTAGTTTACATCCACCACCAATGCAATTTACATAGAGAGTACTGTGTAGCTTTCTTTCTTAAGTGTCTCGGGTTTACTTTTATGGTTTTAGCTAAGAGAGTGTGTTATTAGAAACTGACCTTATTTGGATCGGTTGGATCCCGATATATCTCTGTGTCCTGTTTTGGAGTTGTGAAAGTGGAGGTCAAGTCTTTGGTGACATGGAGAAAGTCCTTTGCGGATTCAGAAGCAGCAAAGAGGCGGCGGGATGTCCAGAAATAGGCTTGAGCAATAGGGGAGGAAGAGGATGAGTCCCAAGACTCTTGATGCTCAATCACTTGGCCGCTAATCTGGTTAAGAGTAAATTCAGATTTGACTTTGATTATCAGATCCCCACTTACAGCGGCAACAAGAGATTTGGGTTTTCCTTTGACTGTCCATCTAATACGCAAAATGCTGGTTGATAACATTACCATCTCCTGTATCGTCTACACAAAAAAAAAAAAAAAAGAGAGGGAGAGAATCACATTTATATTAGTAACCGAAAGAGTTAGAAAATGCAAAGAAAATGTTAAAAGGCCGAGATCAGTTCTCACCACTGTGGGGTTCTCTAAGCCACTAGTTATCCACATTGGTCTTTTATACTTTTCACGACCTGTAAAACTTCTAATCGGATCCTGCAATCACTATCAATCACCATGTATTTACTTATTGCCAAGGAACATTGGTTCACGATGAAAAGTTATATCTTTCTTTGCAAGGTATGCATAATGTGAGGGCAAACTGAATGTACCTTATATCTAACGGAAACTGCGTAGCATGCAAAGGCACGATTTCCTTCCCTAAGCTCAAGAATGTCGCGAGCAAGTTGTCTGGCAGTGGATTCGACTTGAGGGCTGCTTGTGCACTCAAAATCATTGCATAATTCCCCAAAATCAATCTTATCAACAAGCTTGTCTGCTTCTGAGGTGTCAATGGATACTTGAGTCCTGCTGGAATTAGAGAAGAGGAGTGTACCACCACGTAAGGGAAGACGGTGGTGGACCTTT